TACACTGAGAGAAAACACAAAAAACATGCTTGTTAGGTTTTCTATCCACCAAATAAATACTTCAAGTTCTTGTTGCTATCTCTCATTTTGTTGCAGAAAAGTGACATGGGGCTATGCAAGAGTTATCCATATAAAAAAAGAGAGAAAAAAAGATTGAGGAAAAAATGGACAAGTATTCGAGATATTTAAAACAATGGGTACTGAGATGCCCGTCTAAAAAAAATAAATGAATAAGATAGCCCCTGTTCTCTTACAAATGTTTTTAGGTTTTAAAAAGAGAGATATGTTTTTCAGGAGCATAGTAGAATGAGGTTAGCCACCATATATCCACACATATGCACATCTTGATTTGATTGTATGACTCAACTCTCTTTGAATCCGTTGTTTGATTTTACAATATATGCATTTGCAAGTATGCTCTAGCTTTCTCTCTACCTATAAACTCCACATAAAGCCTTAGTGGTAGGAAGAGAAAAAGGCATAACATCTTTATTGCCTTGGTGAGGATCCACAAATACCACATATATTGAGAGACTTGAGAGTGTCATACAATGAAATCTCTGAGTTTTATTTTAAAAATCTATAAAAACTCTAGAATAATGGTTGAACAAAGAACTTGAGACATAATACTTGACTTGATTGTTCTGTCTTTCAATTGCTTAAGACCCAAGTGAAGGCTAAGAAGCCCCATGATTGAAGGTAATACGGGTAAGTTTGAAAGTTAGATCAGTTTATTCTACTTCGGTGGAGAATTTTTGATTAAACACCTGTGTACTTTTGAGGCGTGAAAGCATAGTAGCAACTCTTGATCCATTGCTAAGTTTAGTTTTGCTAAGGGACTAGCAAAGGTTAAGTTTGGGAGAATTATTGACGGTAGTTAACAACCATTATAAATCGCTAATTAAACATGGATAATGGCATAAATGTAATCACCAATGAAGGTTTAGGGGTTTAAGCTAATAAATTCCACAAGTTTTGGTGAATCTGTGTTTTCAGCAGGGTTTATCTAGAAAACCGCCAAGGAGGACCTAATCGTCGAAGAAAATTATAGAATTCCACCGCGGTACCTACGTGGAAAGACTCTAGAAGGGTCCAGAAGGCAAATCATCGAAGCGGGGCTCGACCCGCTGCCATGTGGGGCCCACCTGTTAGCCTGCTTCGTATGTCGGTTCCCCACTGTCTTTGAGGATGCATCTAAGCCGTTGCTTAAGTCGGTTTGATCCAAGAGCTCACATTAGACCCTCAGGGCTATATATACCAGCCCCTGCCCCCTCCCTCAGGAGAGATCCTCAGAGATCCTAAAACCCTAATTCATATTCTCCTCATGAGGATCAGGAGCTAGCTATCAAGAGAAGATTAGACATCCATAGGATCTAGTCTTTAGAAATAGAGAGATGGAGAGTGAGGAAAGAGTTTGGAGGAGGTGCCGGCTTATCAGTGCTCTCTCTATGGCTTGTACCTTGGCGGAAGTCAATCTTGTGTCTGAGATTTCTCTAGTAATCAACTTTTGATTTAAGTAAGTAACGTGTTTATATTGTTCTTCTGGTTTGTAAGTCTCTTTTGAGTGTTTTAATCTATTGGCCTTAGGTTAAAGTATTATTCGTAGTGTAAGTGTGGTGCTTAGATTCGGGTAACTTGTGGATGTACCCTACATTCTAGATTTGTGGTAGCTCACGAGGGTAACTCTTATAGCCTCGTTGAATCCTCTTTGTAGTCCACCTCCCATTTGTAGGACTAGCAGGATTTAGTTATTATAGAAAACATACTATGTCTGTGTTTCTCTTAGTAATATCCCCCGTTAAACAATAGAAGACATATCTTATCGAGACCTTAGCGATCTCTTCTACACTCCCGGCTTTCTTAAGTCTTGTTGCTACTCTAGATTAAGTTGGACCGTAGTTAACCTCACACGTTTCCCTGTGGATACGATACTTGTAATATCTTCGGGTGAAAGCTACATCGATATCCGTGTACTTTATGGATTTATCTGTGCGCGTTAAAATATACCAACACTCACCCCGGCCTTCCCCGAGCCACACTGTTGCTGCACTCGCCCTCCTCGTCGTCGACCGCCGGCCCCGTGCCGCCTAGCGCCACGCCCGCCAGGGCCGCCCTCACCCTCCTCGTCACCGGCCTCTTGCCCCGCGCCGCGCTCACCATGGCTGCGCGCCTACCATGGCCGGAGCCACGAGGCCGGCCTCGGGCACCCCCTCGCCGCCACGCCTGCTGCCTCGCCGTCCGCGCCCCCCTGCTGGCCGTGCCACCCGCCCGAGCCATCCGCGTCCGATCCGACGGCCAAAACACCCAGTTGACAGAGCCTCCCAAAACAACCGGTTATGGGTTAGCAATTCTGATAAATAATTATAAATTGTTAAATTGTCTTTGCGGCAACAAATATAAGGTTTTGTCGGGTTTTTGTTTTGTCTAACATGTTTTTATTCTCGGAACAAAAAATTGCAAATTGTGTCTACAGAAATTGCAATGAACTAAAACTGCAATTTTAGTATAAAGTATGTGCAATAATTGTCGTCTGAAAGCAAACTAAAATTCAGGCACCTAAAATTTAGCAAATCCCATAATTTAGATGTTATTAGCTGTTATAGCATGATTTAACCCGTTATTAGCTATTTAAGGAGAACCCGTTATTAGCTATTTAAGGAGAAAGGTCGCTAAGGGTCTTAGGTTGCCATAGCAACCACCTGCGACGACTCTTGCTTCACCTTGACAGCAATAAGATAGCTCGAAGCGACCAAACAAGGCACATAGGGTAAAGTTCATTTCATTGGAGCATCACACCAAGGTATGCAACGACAATAGTAGTAACTGCACTGCCAGCTGGAAGCAAAAAAGAAGAGTTTGTCTATGCCACGCTCGGGTGTTGGAACACTCGATTTTTTTTTCTTCATCGTCTTTCTCCTCTCGACGCGCCGCCACTGCCCAGCACCCATCGTCCCGTTGTAGCGTGGTATGCTCTCGCCGAAGCTCCTCAGCCGTGGAGCTCCGGCGAGACCCTACCATGCCTAAGGCGGCCTCTTCCCTCCTCCCCCTGCCGCCATGGCTACGGGCGCCTCCATCCCGACCTAGCCCGGCCGCCTCCGTGTTGCTGTCATCGAAACCCTAACGCTGCCTGCCACCGTCCCCATCGCCTGACCGACTGTCTCCCCCGAGCTCCTTCTAAGCATGTCGAAGTTGAAAAAGAAGAAAGTAAGAGGCCGGGCTAGAATGAGAGAGATGGGCATTGAGTTTGAGGGACAAAAACACTCGAGCGCAAGATAGCTTTACCTAAGAAAAAAAACAACAAGTGTACTTCGTCACCGACGGTCTCACAATCCTACTAGCATAAACATCTCGTACCCTCTCAGTCGTTACAATATCCTTGTTTATTCAATGGATCAGTAGCTGTGAACTTGCACCAGGAGCTAAACGCCCTGCTCGTTTGACTCGTAAGCCGTACTTTTCAGCCAACAAACAATATTTTTCTCTCACAATAAATCAGCCAACAGTACTTTCAGCAATAACTTATCAGCCAAGCGAACAGGACAAAAGTTTATTTAGCTCTTGTTTAGTTCCTCCCCAAAACTTTACACCCTATCCCATCGAATGTTTGACACATGCATGAAGTATTAAATATAGACTAAAAAAATAACTAATTGCACAGATTGCTACTACTTTGCGAGACGAATCTTTTAAGCCTAATTAGTTTATGATTTGATAATATGGTGCTACAGTAAGACATGTGCTAATGACGGATTAATTAGGCTTAATAAATTCATCTCGTGGTTTATCGACGGATTCTATAATTTATTTTCTTATTAATATCAAATACTCCATACGACATCCTATGTAATATTTGATGTGACATCTCAAAACTTTATATCCTAAATTCTAATCTCTGAATCTAAAGACACATCGAGTTTGTTCATAAAATAGAGGTGAAGTGACAGAGGAAAGAGTGCTAGAGTGCCAGCCGCCAGCACTAGCATCCATGGAAGGTTCTCTCCTCTGTCCAGAATCCGGACAGCAAAATGAGACCGAGAGAGGCTAAGGCCATGTTTTGTTCCCACATCCAAGTTTAGTGACCCTTAAAGTTTACAGTGACCTCTCTAAAATTTATTGACTTTTATTTGGTTCTATCTATTAAAATAACTGCTCCATATATATTTTAATCATTTTAATCATTTTTAGCTACAAAACTTTAGTGATCCCTAAATTTTAGTGTTGTATTTAATATTTTTATGACTAAAAGTGATTTAAGGAGGGATGAACCAAACAGGCCCCGAACAAAAGTGACAGCAGCAGCTGTGCTGCAAGCAGTGCAGCTCAACCCAGAACAGTTTGTTTACTGTGAATAGACACATCACACTCCGGCTGCCGTCCCTTCCATTGCATCTCGCTCTCCTCGCAAGTCGCAGCCTCGCCCTCGCCGCAGCGCTTGCGCGAGCTTTTACTCCTACTCCATCTCCCTTTGCTACTTTTGGGGACCTCCAGGCCTCTCAAATCCAGAGAACCAAAAAGGAGAGAGAGAGGGAGCTTGTCAGCCCAAGAAAAGGTTCCTCTCCTCCTTCCCCACCTCGCCCTCAACACCCCATCATCCTCTCACATCCGATTGTGCCCTGCCGCTCTGCGGTTCTCGGATCCAAGATTTGGCCGGCCGGCCGGCCGGCGGCGGCTCCAGGAGCGGGACAAAGACTGGATTTTTCCGGCCATGGAGGCGTGGCCTGATCCGTTCAGGCCCGGGCGGTGGAGTGGCTTCCTCACCAGGTCTGATTCGTATTGGTTCAAATGATCTGGGCGGCTTGATTGGTTGGTTCCGCTTCCGCCGGGGGATCGGAGCTAGGGCTGTGGTTCCTTGGCCGGCTGGTGGATTCGTCGGCTTGGGTCTGGTGAGATCTTGGGGGTTGCTGGTTCAGCACACGAGCCGAAGGTCTGTGTAGATCCCCTCTTCGCTTCCGTGGCCGATTTGTACTGCTAGGGTTTTGGTTGGTTGGTTCTGGTGGAAGATGATTAAGCAGATCCTTGGCAGGCTGCCGAGGAAGCCGGGGAAGGCTGGGGATAGCCGGGAAGCTGCTGCTGCGGGGAATGGAACTGATCCGTCGAATTCCTACAGTGTAGCGAGGAGCGTGGACCCAGGGAACAAGAGGGCTGGAAATGGAGATTATCCAGTTCCATCTGGTGTAACTCCTAACCCAGTGATGAATGGGGCTGTGGTGTATCACTCCAATGAGCCGTTACCGGCATTCAAGGACGTGCCGGCGTCCGAGAAGCAGAATTTGTTTGTCAAGAAGGTGAACCTATGCTGCGCTGTGTATGACTTCGCGGATCCAACAAAGAACCTCAAGGAGAAGGAGGTGAAGCGCCAGACACTTATGGAGCTTGTTGATTACGTCACTTCTGCGAATGGCAAGTTCTCAGAGGTTGTCATGCTGGAGATCACAAAGATGGTGTCGATTAATTTGTTCCGGAGCTCCAGCCCCACCCCTCGTGAGAACAAGGCCATTGAAGGGGTTGATCTGGAGGAGGACGAGCCTCTCATGGATCCTGCATGGTCTCACCTGCAGATCGTGTATGAGGTTTTCTTGAGATTTGTAGCGTCACAGGAGACAGATGCGAAGCTGGCCAAGAGATATATTGATCATTCCTTCATTCTTAGGCTGCTAGACCTTTTTGACTCGGAGGACCCCAGGGAAAGGGACTATCTAAAGACGATACTTCATCGAATATATGGTAAATTCATGGTTCATCGACCATTCATCAGGAAAGCAATTAACAACATATTCTACAGGTTTATATTCGAAACAGAGAAACATAATGGCGTTGCAGAGTTGTTGGAGATCCTGGGCAGTATTATCAATGGGTTTGCCCTTCCGCTTAAGGAAGAGCACAAATTGTTCCTTGTTCGTGCATTGATCCCTCTTCACAAGCCAAAATGTGTATCTATGTACCATCAGCAGCTATCCTATTGCATCACACAGTTTGTTGAGAAGGACTGCAAACTTGCTGACACAGTTATTAGGGGCTTACTTAAATATTGGCCTGTGACAAACAGTTCAAAGGAGGTGATGTTCTTGGGTGAGTTAGAAGAGGTTTTAGAGGCAACACAGCTTGCAGAGTTCCAAAGATGCATGGTTCCACTCTTCCGTCAGATTGCCCGTAGCATGAACAGCTCTCATTTCCAGGTCAAAATCTTACTGCGCCTATACTTAAGTTTGTCATAAATTTCTACCAAATTTCGTTGTTGGTTCTTCTAGTTCATGACACATGTGTTCTTACCACTTTAGCTCTATGATTTCACAATTTGTCGTCTGCATGTTTGCATTGATTGCTTTCATCACATATTTAATTAGCTAAAATTCTTCTCCCAACATATAGGGGAAAATATCGGTAGTGTCTCCACTCTCTAGGCTTCCCTTTTCAGCCAACACCCTTAATCAGTGTGCGGGCACTGGTAACGGTAGCAGTGCGTGGATCTTTTTCTCCCACTGTTCTTCTTCGTTCAACCGCACCAGCCCGCTCCCACCCCTGTCTTCCACCGCCGCCCTGGCCAGGGGCTCCCCCTCTGCTCGCCGCACCACCCACTGCCCACCCCCACCACTCCACCCCGCCCTCACCTAACCCCAACCGGAGAAGAGCTTGAGCACCTTCCCCGCTTCCGGCTCCGGCCATCTGGTTGTCTCCCGCCACTTGCTTGGCGGTGCCCCCGCCACCTCACTCGCACCACCGCCGGTCTGGCCGCTGCCCGAGGGCCCCTCCCCTTTCTAAGGTCGTCGGGTATGGAGGTCCCGAATGCGAGGAAGAAGATGACGTTCATCCAGTCGGGCGTCGGCACGTGTCCGAGCACTCGTTGTCGTTGCGACGCACGCACGCCGTATAAAGATTTGGCTTTTCAGATACACGCCATGGTGTGTCTTTTTCATGTAAATTTCTGCGCATGGACTTTTTAGTTGTTTTGATATAAGCTAATCTATGATTAATAACAAAAATAAAGTGTTGGTGCTAGTTCATTCTTTTAAAGTCATAATTACAAAATAGAACATCAATTTTTTATCTTAGAGTTGGAGTCTTTTGGGTGCATACCATTTTTTCCTTTCCTTTTCTTTTTCTTGTACCTTAAAGACTAAAGTTATCTCGAAATTGATCTGTTGCATGGTACCTAAATCTTTATGTCCCTCTTTTGTAGCAATCAGATTGGGCCATTGGGGATGTAACAAACATTTTTTTGGGGTTTAATATACTTCTGTATAACATTTCTGTAGAAGAATTAGATAGCAAGTATAATCTACTAATTCCCCCTCCCCCCGCCCCACACCCACACACAAAAGAAAAAGACTTTTAGTGCAAATCCTTGCCAGTTATTTGCCTACATGTCCACATTGATTGCTTGCACAGATTTACCTTGCTAGAAATCTACTACTAAGTGTGGAAAAGATCAATGCTCATGGTCTCTCCTGCTTTGCTGTTAAGATACCTTCTATGTGGACCACTGGGTGTCTTTTTATGTATAATTTATGTACATGCTCATAGTGTCTCCTGTTTTTCTGTTAACTTGTTAAGATACCTTGTGCCAAAGGGCGCCTAGCTCAAACGGTTAGGTGACCCAGCGACACTCCTCAGGTCCTGGGTTCGACTCCCCGTGGGAGCGAATTTCAAGCTGATGTTAAAAAAATCCCCTCGTCCGTCCCCATAACCAAAGCACTGGGGGGGCATCGGCCCAATTCTCACTTGGGCGACGGAAAGCCACCGTGTAAGGGTGGGGGTGGGGGTTCGGGGGTTTTCTCGGCCGGGTGAGAAGGTCCTTCTTCTTATTTGTAATGCTGTGGGGGCAGTCTTAACCCCCCTGGTCGAGTTTTTTTTTTTGTTAAGATACCTTGTCTCTGGACTACTGGGTATCTTTTAGTGTATAATTTATGTACATGTATTTTCAGTTGTTTCATATATATGCTATCTGTGATAAGAATAGTAAATAAATCATTGGTTCTTAGCCATTTCACCTTTATGTTGTAATTACATTTAATTCATTCCTTGGCCTTAAAAAAACTTTCTCCTGCCTTAAATACTTAGAAACTGATCTGCTGCATATAGACCTTAAGAGGTTTTATACTTTTATATGCCTTCTTTCTCAGTAATTGGATTAATGGCGTACAAAATTTGCGTTTTGTATCTACTGAAACAAAAGTCACAGTAGTTGTCATCAGGAATGTCATGTATCAAAAAGTGGTATTCATGGTGCCCAAATTGGATAGCAAGCAAAAGCCATTATAATTTCCCATATTATGAATTGTGGTGCAAACCCATTCTTCCTTCTGTTTTCATGTATGGGATTCTTTTAGTTTTATTAGTGAACTGCTCCATTGGAATGTAACCTGTTTATCAATTTCTGTCTGTTAAAGTCTGTATATTCTTGCATTTGCTTTGTACCTCTGCCTATCTGTGACACCTCTTCATCAATCTCTGACTCTCAAACCTGTGTTTTCTGACTATCGCTACTGTCCATGTGTAAAATCCTCTTCATGTATTCCTGACTGTCTTTCCTTTTTTGGTCGTCTTAAAACAGATTTTGGACATGACCTTTACGTATTCGAAGCATGATTATTTGCTACCCTCTTGTTAGCTAATCATTATAGTTAATAACTGTGTCCTTGTGCTGCTTGGATCCTGCTGATTCTGTAAAATGGAATGTAGTTTTCTCATTGCTGATGGTATCTGGTGGTTTTGTTTAGTCATATATGTTCACTTGAGCAGTTTGTAGCCTATTGATAATAGAATATGAACACTACTTTAGTTGGCTGCCCGGGTGAAATGCTCAGCATTAGTTTGATGCAGTTTTTTAGTATACTCAAGCATTTATGACTTATGTTTTTCCTCCTTTTCTGTTCATAGGTGGCAGAGCGGGCTCTGTTTCTCTGGAACAATGACCATATTGAAAACCTAATTAAGCAAAACTACAAGGTGCTATTACCTATCATCTATCCTGCACTCGAGAGAAACTCCAGAGATCACTGGAACCAAGCTGTCCGTAGCCTGACGTTGAACGTACGCAAGATCTTCTCTGATCATGATTCTGCATTTTTTGGGGAGTGCGTTCAGAGGTTCAATGATGAGGAGCTCAAGCAGGAGGAATCTGATTCAAAGCGAGAAGCCCTATGGAAGCGCTTGGAGGAAATGGCCACGTCAAAACCTGGCAAAAACAATCCCTTAGGTGCACCCAATGGCAAACCCAGTCAAGCTGCTGGCTAGAATAGCCCACCATATCAGCCGCAGCCGTGTAACTCTGACTCCTGTGCGAGATCTGGAACCTGGGTTGTGATTTTAGCTTTGGGAATTTTTTTGCGTTGGTTTGCCTTTGCTGTAGGTGGGTAGGATGTGTTTGGTTTTGTCAGAACTGTATGTTCAAAATGTACACATAGAGAAGAATTTGAGAGATTTGGCATGTGTAGTAACATTAATCAGAATTACCATATAGTCCAATAAACAACGTCGATTTTGATTGCAGATACGCAGTGGGGTGGATCTATATACCGAAATGACAGTGAGCGTTGTGTTCTTGTTTGTGCTGTTATAATATTGTTGTATATACAATGATGCTGGGAATTGGGACATGGCTGTCCGTCCACCCTTGATTCCTTTGTACTCCTATATTCGTCTATTCCTATACTCCGGAGTCCAGAGCACTCGCGATCTGCTTTTCTGTTCCTTTGGCTGAAACAGAACAGCATCGTTTTAGACGAACGTTGTTTGATGTACAGGATACAAGTGAATAAGTGATTCTGCTTTTCTACCAACTGGTGTTTACGGAATAATTGTTGTGAAAATCGCCTGAAAGATCAAGTCACTTCTGCTAGCAAAGGTTGTGAAAATCGCCTGAAAGATCAAGTCACTTCTGCTAGCGAAGGCTCTTAGTAGCAAAGCAATATGTCAGCGAGATAAAACAAGGGATGAACTCATCAATGAAGAAACGTCTACAAGCGATGCCCGTGATTTTTTGGGTCCATGTAGTTAGGCTACAAAAGTACAAAACACAATTTCTCATAACACAAATATATCCCTAAAAGCTTCTTCAACTGAGAGTCTGAGACCGATTGAAAGTCAACCACGGCCCGTACACTCCAGGTGCCAAGGCAAACAATACACCGGGAGTTCCTGCATGAAGGGCTCTCGCCTACAGGTCAATAACTCGTGATAGCTTCTGGATGCGGTTCAGCAGGAAGTCTCCTTGCTTGATGGTTGCCTGGTAGAAGGCATTCCTGGCATCAGGTCGGTTCGTTTCCAAGACACCAGCAACTTTGTCTATCTTGCAGTGGAGCTTCCCAGCAGCAATGAAGCGTGACAATTCCCTGTATTGGAGTGACAGAAATAGGTAATAAAAGTTAAGCTTGTGAGTAACATTTAAAACTTGGATATGAGCATGGCTGACACTGCACTTACTGGTCTATAAAGTCAACTGTGACACCAAATGCAGCAGCCATGGCTTCCATTGTCACACTCTTGTATGATTCCAGAAATTGTGAGTAGACAACAGTGCGCACTTCACGCATGTAGTAGCGAAAATGAGGCTGCAAGTAACGGTCTAACTTGATCGGTTCAGTCAAGCCAGCTGAAAAAAAATGACCCAGTGATGAGAAACCCAAAGATTAGACCCGCCATAATAATCCTTGAGCATTTATTTTATCATAAGTAAATGAAAGATGGAAAATTTAATGATTCTGTTACTTACAGAATGCAATAAAAAATGACTTGTACTGGCAATTGTAGAGGGAATTGAGAAACTCCGAGAGGTGAGGTACTTTGCCAATTACAGCTAAGATCTCAGGTGCATCTACAACCTGCCAAGATCCTAGTTGTTTATACATCCAATCCAAGGCAATGGGCAATGAAGAGAACTTGAAGAAGACAAGCTGAGTACCTTTTGTTTTAGAGATACACGATCCAGAGAGATAACACTCGTAAGGACTGTGTAGAAGATGAAGGTATCATATGTGAACAGCTCATATGTTGTGAAAGTTGAAATTGAATCCAATAATAAACTAGCAGCTTTCTTGAAGTTTCTAGTTGCCATGCAGTACAATCCTTCGTATACTTTCAATCTGTTCTTCCTCTCCCAGTCACCACCTTCCTCAAACAAGCTTCAATCAGGAGAAGACTGTATCAGCTTCACAATGCAAATCCAATTTGAAAAAGAGATAAACCAAGAGAATTTGGATTTACTTTTTCGCTTTGTCAATGGACTTTGAGATGAGATCAAAGTCCATATAGAAAAGTCCAATCTGTAGTGTGTAGAAAACAAGGTCCATCTTTTGCCCAACAGCTACAGTTTTTCCTTCAGTAACTTTAAGCTGCTCCAGTGCTTTCTCCTGAAATTTATATTATTTGGGCAAGGTAAGCATGTCTGGAGCACACACTAACAATCTTAAGAAATATAGAACACATGAGATATATACCTTCTCCCCAACCCTTATAAAATATAAGGATTTGGCGAGATGGGCCTCACGCACTTCACTCTCACCCAAATTCTCCTCAGCATCGGCAATCCTTGATAAAGAAGAAAAATCAACCAAGAGAAGTTACTGACTAAGTACTGTCACTGAAGCATAATGGAAATAGAATTTCAGATGCACCAAAAGAGAGGATATGAACTTTAGAATCTAGATACCATGATTACAATTTTTGTTTTACTTGAACAAAATGTCAGCCTTCCTTGAGAGTATACCATTGATTTTGTTTGTGAACAAAAAATCTCTATTTATTTACAATCATCCACCATTGCTCATGACATAGATGGTTGCATGTGCAAACATGAGTTCTCTATCTACAATCATTGATCACTCCCTTCAATCTAGATGGATGGATGACACTACCAATCAAGCACAAAAATTAATCATCCCCCTACCATGTAGATGGATGAACACTAACCTATCAAGCACAAAATGCCATGTTCTTGATGCTGACACACAAGTCATTGGTAAAGTTCTGACAAGAACAATTGCTATGGCTAAACTAAACAAACTCAATTCAGTTAGATCATAAGGTCCAAAACACAAATTTTTAGAAAAAGGAATAAAATATATTCCGGCCTGTGCAAGAGTTACCAAGTACAACGTTCAGAGACAACTGGAACAGCTACTCAGCTAGAGCAAATCAAATCCAACCCAAAGACAGTAATAGCGCCTAGCAGTGCATAACTGACAAACCCAGTGATTTTCAAGGCTAAATTATCACTGAACCGAGCAAATTAGAAACAGTGCGGTCACAGAGCTAAATGCATCAGCACTCGCAGCATACAACACTAGGAGCCAGCCTATTGATCGAGCAGGGAAAGGTCACAAGCGGCGAGATCTACTCACTTCTCATCGAGCTTCCGGATCTCCTCGTCGATCCTGGCGCGCATCTCGGCCAGCAGCGCCGCGTCCATCTCCAGTACGCCGTCCGCCGCCAGCGACTCGTACAGAGCCGCCATGTCTGCACCAACCGCAGACAGTACAGATCAAATCCAAATCCCTCCCGCAATTAGAAGCAGACTCGACGAAAGGAGGGGGCGCTGGTCCTACCATCGGATTTGACTGCCGCGAGCACGTCAGCGCGTAGGTCGACCTTGGCGAGGTCGTCGACGTCGGAGCGCGACAGAAGGAACAGCTTGTTTGCCAGTACTAGGTGCGGCTGCTGCTTCCCGTCCTCTCCGCCGCCGTCCATCTCGCCGCCCTCGCTTTGCTTCCGCCGCAAGAAGATAGGAGGTAGAAGAGGAGGAGGAGGAGGCTTCTTTTTTTTTCCAGAGGGGAGGAAAGAGAGAAATATGTTTTCAGACTCGTGCTAGTACAACTTTGCTAAGCAACGTTTTTAATCCTCACCGTTCATTCTATGATCTGATGGCTGTACAGAGCCGAGAGCTTTTGAACCTATCCAAGGGCCGAGAGGAACACCGAGCCCAACACCAACCCGACCGAACAACCCAACTCGTTCCGACCCGAGCCCAAAACCCTTCGCGGAAACCCTTCTCTCCCGATGGCAACCGCCGCCGCCGTGGCGGCACCAGAGCAGCCGCGCCGCCGGAAGCCGGCGCCGGGGCGCGGGGGCGTGGCCCTCCCTGCGGGGCTCTCGGAGGAGGAGGCCAGGGTGCGGGCCATCGCCGAGATCGTCTCGGCGATGGGGGAGCTCTCGCGGCGCGGGGAGGATGTGGACCTCAACGCGCTCAAGTCCGCCGCGTGCCGGAGATATGGTCTGGCGCGGGCGCCCAAGCTGGTGGAGATGATCGCCGCCGTGCCCGAGGCCGACCGCGCCGCGCTGCTGCCGCGGTTGCGCGCCAAGCCCGTGCGCACGGCGTCAGGTATCGCCGTCGTCGCCGTCATGTCGAAGCCGCACCGTTGCCCCCACATCGCCACCACCGGGAACATCTGTGTCTACTGCCCGGGCGGTCCCGACTCCGATTTCGAGTACAGCACGCAATCCTACACTGGATACGAGCCCACCAGCATGCGTGCCATTCGGGCAAGGTGATTTCATTGAAGTACATTGGTGTCCATGCTCCCTTTAACTGCTTTTATTTATGCCTTTCTGTACCTAGGAGTGCAGTGACTTATGTTTGTGTTACAGACTTACAGTTGTGGTAGCATCGCAGAAGAATCTGTAATTATACATGCTATCGCTAGACAGCCTGTAAAGCATGCTTCAAATCATGTCTTAGTTCATAAAACCCATTATGGACTGGCTAAATTAGATACCGGACATTTTACTGAAAATAAGTACAAATGATGACCAAACTTTTAAGAACTATGAATAAAGTTCTCTATTTGGCTGCCTGTTGCTTGTTAAACCCATTATGTAACTAGCTTGTGTGCTCTTTTTCTCTCTCTTGGCTGCCTGTTGCATGCCTTTTTTTTTCCCTACCTTTCAGCTATACAGATTTTGTCTTCCTTTTCTCTTCATACTTTTTTTAATGATGAAATGCACAGTGGGGATTTCCCCTAAAAAAGATAAAAATAAAGTTCTCTATTTGTTGCTTGTTAATAATGAAGGTACACCAATGCCAACTAGGGATCTTTGGATAATCTTGTAGCCATGGATTATGTTTAAAGATACAGATGTTCGTGCACTGTGATTATTTAAACTGATTTTTAATACACTTTTGGTAGATAATTTTCCTGATCTACATTTATATTTTAGGTATAATCCATATGTGCAAGCCAGGAGCAGGATAGATCAGCTCAAGAGGCTAGGGCATAGTGTGGATAAGGTTTGTATGGAGTCCAAGACAGCACTCGGCTCAATTTTATTGATTCTTATATTCACGGCATGCTGTACTAAATTTTGACCAGCAGTTGAAGATGATTTTAATATACGTTGCAGGTCGAGTTCATCTTGATGGGTGGGACTTTCATGTCCTTACCAGCTGATTATCGTGATTATTTCATCAGAAATCTTCATGATGCTTTATCGGGTCACACTTCAGCAAATGTTGAGGAGGCTATTTGTTATTCGGAACATAGTGCTGTCAAATGTATTGGTATGACGATTGAGACGTAAGTATCATTGCATAACTGGATGGTGCTTCTTATTACTTTCATTCAAAAGGAATGTGTTGTCTTTCCCACTTCCCTAGGAATTTAATCCCAATGAAATGTTTTTTTCTCTTGGAATTCTAGGAGACCTGATTATTGCTTGGGGCCTCATCTGCGCCAGATGCTATCTTATGGTTGTACCCGCTTGGAAATTGGTGTCCAGAGTACATATGAGGATGTTGCCCGTGACACAAACAGAGGACACACGGTGGCTGCTGTTGCTGATTGCTTCTGTTTGGCAAAAGATGCTGGGTTTAAGGTTATTGTTTTTTTAGTCACAATAGCTTTGTCTGATTGCTTTCATTGTTTGTTTATGATTGTTCTAATTGTTTTGATTCACCCTTTTGACAGGTGGTTGCCCACATGATGCCAGATTTACCTAATGTTGGAGTTGAAAGAGACTTGGAAAGTTTCAGAGAATTTTTTGAAAGCCCAGCATTCCGGGCTGATGGGCTGAAGATTTATCCAACACTTGTTATTCGTGGAACTGGTCTTTATGAGCTCTGGAAAACTGGCAGGTACTTCTCTAATCCTAATTACTCAGTGTCTTGCTAAATCTTATCAACGTTCTTGTGGTTATTTCTAAATTTTAGGGTAAGAACTTCTGTACTTATGACAAGGGCTCATAAATCCAGGGTTAACCCGGTAACTTTTGCTGTGCTGCAGATATAGAAATTATCCACCTGAGCTGTTGGTGGATATCGTGGCAAGAATTCTGTCTATGGTACCACCATGGACACGAGTGTATCGGGTCCAGAGAGATATTCCAATGCCTCTTGTCACTTCTGGTGTTGAGAAAGGTAACCTTCGTGAGCTTGCTTTGGCTCGAATGGAAGATCTGGGCTTAAAATGCCGAGATGTCAGAACCCGTGAGGCAGGGATTCAGGTAAATACGAAATACAGTAAAACCACTTTCTCAGCCTAAAATGGATGTCATTTTATTATTCTAGCTGTGCATATGTATGTAGGATATCCATCACAAGATCAGGCCAGATGAAGTAGAGCTTGTTAGACGTGACTATGCTGCAAATGAGGGTTGGGAGACGTTCCTCTCTTATGAGGATACACGACAGGTACTTATAGCTGACCAGTCAATTTGATATGGATGCAAATTCTGGAATATGGTGCATTGGTGCCTTCCTGTATAGGTGTATTTCTTATGTGATTATAGTCTACTCCCTTTCTCCATAGTTTGAGATCTGTTTATTCTGTCTTTCATTTGGTTCTCTTGATATTCCTTTAGTTCAATGAAGATTAGCAATGGGTCTAGCTAACGATAATGTCGTAGCTTCTTGAGCTTAGCAATATACTCACAATTTACTTTTCATGAATTTTACAGGATATCCTGATCGGCCTGTTGCGCTTGCGTAAATGTGGCCGTAATGTTACATGCCCTGAACTTGTAGGGAGGTGTTCAATTGTTCGTGAGCTTCATGTCTATGGAACTGCAGTCCCTGTGCATGGCCGTGATGTAGACAAGCTACAGCACCAGGTGATTCACTTATTTACTTGTAGACAGTGTTTAAATGTATGATCACCACCCAAGGTTTTGGTCCTCAGCAGTTGGCACTACCATGTTTGAAATTTATGTTTAGACTTCCTGGCATGATTGATGCTTGGCACTTGTAATTACCATTATTAATAGCGTCAAAGTTTTTAAAACTGCTAGTAAAGTTTAAAAATGATAGAGTGCAATACATGTTAATTGGAGTAGATTAAAGCTCAGTGGTTAGTAAATCCAGTCATTTGGGTCACAGCAGAGATGAAACACCACTAAGGCTTGAACATGCTCCAACACACTGGGCTAAGTGAGCGAGGTGGCAACACTGAAAATCAAAATTAGTGCTTTCTGCCAGATTCCTTAAATTTCCTAATCTTTTTTTGGGCTGATTCCTAGGTTGCTAATTGTGATGCTCTAAGCCATTTGTTCTGTAATGGAATAATTGTGGTGCATCATAAGCATTTTGACTTAGCCATTCATCCATTATTACAACAGATGTTTTCATTTTATTTCAGGCTTAAGCCTTAGCCCAACTTAAATGACGTGAAAAATCCTGCATCATAAGCATTTTGACTTAGCCATTCATCCTTTATTACAACAGATGTTTTCATTTTTGTTTCAGGCTTAAGCCTTAGGCCCAACTTAAATGACGTGAAAAATCCTTTTAGTAAAAATGTAAATGTGTCAATCTAGTGAAACTGAAGAGGCAAATTAGTGTCAGTGACGGGAAGACACATGACTGCATTTAGTCTTTATTAATGTGCCAATATTTTTTTTCTCTCCTTGTTCATTCTTTGTATTGTCAAGAAGGTTCTTATACAGCTTTTAACGTTGTTTTGTGTCCGTTGTGTCCGTGTACATCCACAGGGCTATGGAACTCTATTAATGGAAGAAGCAGAAAGGATTGCTCAAAAGGAGCACCGTTCAAAGAAATTGGCTGTCATTTCGGGGGTTGGTACTCGCCACTACTACCGCAAATTGGGTTATGAGCTAGAAGGGCCTTATATGGTCAAATGTTTGGCATAATACCGTTTCATTTTTTTTCGTGCGATCATGTAGAGCAGACTAGTGTTTGTAATGTGACATTAGTAGTTTTTTCAAAAAAAAAAAATTGTTCGTTATACCCTTCTTTTTAATATATTGAGTAGTCCAGATGAAAAGGGAGACGACTCTGTATGTATGCTAAATGATAGCAAAATTCTCACCATAGAAACTTCATGTGCCGTGCAACAAGGGTGGTAGTCGAGTCAGGATTTAACTCTTTGGTGTTCACAACGCTTCATCCATGAATGAAGGAAATAATTTATCACCATTTGGCCCCGTTCACTTTGCTGAAAAAACAAGTTAAAACATTGTTTCGGCTGATTTGTTGTGGGAGAAAAATACTATTTCAGCTGAAAAAAGAACCTGAAAAGTAAGGATTATAAGAGAAGCGGGATTGATCATCTTTGAGATTAATTGGTACGTATTCCTTGATCATCTGTAAGATTAGTTGGTACGAATTCCTTCCTCATCTGTAAGATTAGTTGGTACGAATTCCTTCCATTCTAAATTATAGTGTTTACTTTAGCTTTGATATAAGTCACTTTACTTTTATTTATAGATAGAAAAATATACCAACATCTAGAACATCAAGC